CTTAGTCTAGGGTTGCTCGGTGTTTCGCTCAAATTCAAAGTTGGGTGTTCGATTTATCGGGGGATGCTGTGGTCACTTCTATGGCGGTTGTTGGGTGTTCGATTCATCGGGAGTTGCTGCTGTAGGAATTCAGAAGCCCCCTTCTTGGTAAATGATTGATGGTCCTGAAGGAATTCAGACCTTATGTTTAGCAGGGAACGAGGAAAAAAAATTAGGATTATGTTTGCTATGGCGTGCTTGTTCTCCTAATGGAGACAAAGAGTTCACTCCATTTAGTTCTCACATTTCATCATTTTGTACAGTCTAGAGCTCTCTTAATATTGGAAGAATATATACGTAGCTCTTGTTGTGACCTTCTTTGCTCACTATTGTTACGGCGCTGCTAGAAGGAGGGCGCGAGAGGGCCGGCCGGGGGCCTTTTTGCCCACGGCCGGGCAAGAGGGAAGGGATTTCCTTCTTAATTCTTGCTTGATTAGATTGATACATCTCCTTTCTTTATATAGAGAGGTTTACTTGACTCTCAAGCAAGGCTTACTTGACCCCTAAGCAAACGACCCTTATCTCTAATTAACCTAAGACTAATGGGCTCATTAGGCCCATTACGTACCCTAACACTACACCCCACCTGGACATGCAGCTTGTCCTTGAGCTGCAGCCTAACCAACTTATAAGCATGACTCAACGCAACACAAACCTAACACCTAAAAACAAGCCTTTTACATCTCGGCTTGTTTTATTATTCTAAATCTGAAATAGACTAGGACGCTTTATTTTGGACGTGCACGTGTACAGCCACCTGGATCCCATGGACACCACCTGAACAAAAGGAGTGCATGTGTATGGCTATTGGTCTGCACCGCACAGGGAAGAGTGGAGGGCTTGCGATGGAGAATGACGAGGAGGGGTGCGCCCCCCCTCCCCCCCCAACCGCCGATGTCGCAGACTTTGAGGTCGTTGTCTGCGGGGAAAAAGCATGCTGGCCGCCCGTGGGGGAAACCACATGCCCAAGATCCCCGACGCAGCGGATGAGATCGAGGTCCTTTGCGCAGCGAATGGCAACTTGGAGGAGCGGCAGCTGCAGACCACGCATCTCCCGCACACGCCGACGCGCTAGGAGGCCGCGCGCAGCAGCCTGCAGCCTCACCGCCGCTGACACGTGGCGGGTAGCGATCCAAGACGGAAGCGGTGACGGCGACGGCAGTGACTTGATCTGCTGGATGTGGACGCCCTGGGATGGTGGCGGCGCTGATGGGAACGAGGTTGTCGCACTCACGTCGTAGGGCATCCCATACTGGGCGGTGGAGCTGACCGGCGGTGGCTGCTGCAGCTGCAGCGGCTGCTGCGCTGTCGCGCCGGGCGCGGCGGAGGCCGCCAGGAGCGGCGGCTGCCACTGCAGCCAGGGCTGGGCGGTGGTGGTGATGGATGGCAGCTGCAGCGTCCCGGCGAGCACGGCGAAGGCCGCCTGGTGCGGCGGCTGCCACGGCAGCCACGGCGGCGCGGGGGCGGCGATGGGCGGCGCAACCGAGTGCGGCCCGTAGGACCCGGCCAAGAACAGGTGGATCTCCTGGACCGCCTGGGTTAGGTCCCGCAGCACCCTGGACACGTCCTCCCAGGTGAGGACGGTGGGGGCGGGCGCGACAGAGGATACCGGCGCGGGCAGGAGCGGGGTGACGGTCGTGGTGGTCGCCGGAGGCGACAAGGTGACCGGCAGCGGAAGAGACGGGCTTGGTGGTGGTGAAGACATGATCGAACCGAAGCTAGCTGATACCAAATTGTTACGGCGCTGCTAGAAGGAGGGCGCGAGAGGGCCGGCCGGGGGCCTTTTTGCCCACGGCCGGGCAAGAGGGAAGGGATTTCCTTCTTAATTCTTGCTTGATTAGATTGATACATCTCCTTTCTTTATATAGAGAGGTTTACTTGACCCCTAAGCAAATGACCCTTATCTCTAATTAACCTAAGACTAATGGGCCCATTAGGCCCGTTACGTACTCTAACAACTATTGTCTTTGAATCGACTATGAGTTAGAAGGCATAATTAAGTATGATGGTAGTGATGCTGAATGTATTACATTAGGTGATATATAGGCTCATGATAACTGAACATGCATGGCTGAGTAATAGACTGTTACTCACTTTAGTTTGCGACTTCAAATATATCTCACGCATTGCACAAAACCTTGCATCTAATCTAACTATTATGTGCCTCTTAAAATATAAGAACACTTGACTGCCACAGGTGTGACTCATATCAGTTAGTATCAAAATTTAAATAACTGGTTTACACTTCACATTTCCATCGGACTTGGGCTTGCATTGGAGTGACATATAATCTGTCATTTAGTGTTGAGGTTCATATTTTTTGCATCAGCACATAAGAATTCCAACATTCTTCGTACTGAGTGCATTTCTAAACATCTAACTGAAGAGCTCAATGGAAGATGACTTCGATACATATATCTCACTGCATAATGAGAAATAATGTTCTTTTTCATTGTCTTTGTTTCTGCGTCTTTCTCCAATTCCCTTAAAATCCTCTATGCTACTGTTTAACTATAATTTTTCTGTTTCATTCAGGTGCCAGAACATAATTAAGCAACTTTGGTTCGGCTACAAATGATGTGCTGAATTAGCAATGCTAAGAGAATGCATTCTATAGGACGAGGTTTCACTAGCATAAATAAAATTTTCTGGTTGCGCCACGTGATTTTGAATCCTTACCGGTACTA